GTGGTTTCAATATGTAAAACAACTTTTCTGCATATTGTGAATCTGTAACTAAGTTGAGAGGTTCCTTATGATCCATTAACACCAGGAGAATAGCATATAATTCTGACTTTGGAGAGAATTATAAGGACTTAGATCCACTTTACTTAAATGTTCTGATTTGTAACCTCTCTTTCCTAATTTATTTTCATCAGTATAGAATGTAGGGACTCTAGTTATTGATGTTTCCCTTACAATTTGAGGAAGGATACAGTTAGTTATCTTTATAAGTTGAATTCTCTTGCTTTTGGAATAATTGTTGTTGACCTCTCCCAAAAAATTATTACAAACTCTTTGCCAGGGTTCACTTCTACCCATAATGTTTCAATTTCATCATTAGTTAAAGGTATTATAATTTCTGCAGAATCTATTCCTGCTAATTGATGAAGTCTCAATTTTCATTTTAGAATCAACTCAGAGATCTTTTCCACATAAGTTTTTTAATTTTCACTCAGTTTATGTGGTAAAACGATCTACTGTATGATAATATCTTCCTTCTGCATTAAAATTCCTGTAGGGGAATGCTTAGAGGGTACTATGACCAGAATTCAGTTAAGCTTTGGAGCTATAGGATCCACAAGTGCAATCTGTAACTCATCGTCCACTAACCCTAATTATCTATCAGCTTTGGCTGTTAATTCCCTGGGACTATTTAAGTCAGTGTTACCATAAGCCGTTTTGTTTAAATTAATCAGTTGATCAGATTATTCTAATAATGTGCCGTAGATAGGAAATGTCTCCTGACAATCTTTGAAAATCATTAAGAGTCTTCAATCGATCCCTTCTAATTTGTACCTTTTGGGGTCTAACTTTTTTTGTAAACCTATTTTATAGCCTAAATAGTTAATAGAATCACCTCTTCATATTTTTTTCAGGTGCAATTTGAAATCCCCAACAAGGAAAACTTTTCTTTACTTCTTCAAACATTCTTTTTAAATTATCTATATTTGAATCAGATAATAAAATATCATTCATGTAATGGTAAATTATATATATTGAGGAAATTGCTTACATATTATTTCTAATGGATACCTCACAAAATACTGACACAGGGTGAGGCTATCTGACATTCCCTGTGGGAGAACCTTCCATTGATTAAGAGATAGTGACCAGCTGCTTTGCTTTTCTGATACTCAGCTTGAAGTCTGTAACATTCTCCATTTTCTTCAATATGTCCAGCTGTTCCTGAACCAGCTTTCTGGAGCATCTAGCTTCTCTGAAGTCATAGGCCATTGCTCTACCCAGACAGGATTGTCATGAAAGCATTTTAAGGGCAGGACTTTTGGTCCCTCTATGAGTTCAACACTAGGTTTTTTTGTTTGTTTGTTTTCTTTTTCCATTTTTGTACAGCCTGAATGGATGGTGTTTGTTTTATATATTGCCTTATAACATTTTTCCATAGACATGAATTGGTTTATGGTTCATTTTTATTCTTGGGGAATGTTAATCTGGGTATTCCATTGCTGCACCAGATCACGACCCATAGATTTACTACTATATTAGTCACATATTGCCTCACCCTTCCTCTTTGTCCTTCTGACCCTATACATTCTACCCATCTTGTTCTTTGTTTTACCCGAGATAGGGTTTTAATCCCTAAAAATTGAACATCTACCTTGTGAAGAGGCAAACTTAGATGCCAAGATTCTAGAGTGACAATGGTGGCGTCCGCACCTGTGTCCAGTAATGCTTAAAGTCTAACATTATTTATTTGTACTCTTAGTTTTTTTGGCCTTTGCTCATTTATAGAAGTCTGCCAAGATACACATTTTCTGTTTCCTCCTTACATTTTTTTATTCATCCTCCAAAGCTATTCTGCCATCCAGAGCAGTATAGATTTGTTTCACAATAGGCACTAGAATTTCTAATTGTTCTGAGGAGAATCGTCCTCCACAGTGACTGGGAATGACTGGACCAATTTCGACATGGGGGCCTTTGAAAGGTCCCCCAAGACATCTCCCCAATGGTAAAGGGTTGCATTGTCTGTCTCTTTTCAATCTACGTTTGTTGGTCCAATGTTGGCCTTTGCTGAATCTCCTACATAATACAGAAGGCTGGGGTGGTCTTCTATTTGGGTTATTCCCAGAAGCATTATTTCTAGAAATTCCTTGTCTGCAACTTCTTCTCAGACATCTTATTCTACCACAATTAAAACATTTAATATTTTGATGTCTCCTCATACCTTTGGAGATCGCTTCTCCTACTCAAGCCACAGTGTTAGTCAAAAGACTTAACATTGGCTATGTGCAGGAGCCATTCATCCATTGGTGCTGATCTGATTATTAAAGGCCCAAACACTTTTTGCATTCTAAATTAGCATTTTCAAAAGCTAAAGATTCAATGAATTCTCATCTAGCTTCTGAATATGCTATCCCTATTTGTACAGCTTTAGTCAGCCTTTGCAAAAAGTCACTAAGGGGCACTTTTGGGACTTGTATAACCTTAGTATATGTCTCAATTCTTTTCCCTGGTTCTTGAATCTTGTCACAAGTATTCAAGACTGCTGTATAGCATAGGGACATGGTATGCTCACTGTATGTAGATTGAGTATCTGCATCAGCATAAAGACCCTCAACAAGAAAGAATTTGATCTTGGGAAGCCTCATATCCTTCGATTCTGCCTTGACGTTCAAGGGCCTTATTCTATTCTATTCTAAAACCACCAGGGATACTGGCGCTGGGTGGAGGGCAGTAGCAGAGCTTGGTCGACTTGACTGAGTGAACCCACAGGAGCTGGCAGCTTTCTTTGAGCTTGTGTGTGTTTGTATGAGCTGGGCAGTGGTAGGGCACACCTTTAATCCCAGCACTCGGGAGGCAGAGGCAGGCGGATCTCTGTGAGTTCGAGGCCAGCCTGGTCTACAGAGCGAGTTCCAGGACAGCCTCCAAAATAATACAGAAAAACCCTGTCTCGAAAAACCAAAAAAAAAAAAACAAAAAGAAAAGTTATGAAGCAAGTTTGAGAAACAGGCTCATGGCTTATCCGTCAGTTAAAGATTAAGCCTAGTGAAAATCACCAAGTCACTCGGGCAATAGGCTTGAGCAATAGAGGAGAGACTGTGAAAGATAGAATTGGAACATACAGTTAGGTTACCAGGCAAACCAGGATGGTCTACCCCTTCCACTGACCTTTCTGTCCTGCCAGCTTCCTCGAAGAGGCAGTCAACACTCCCACTCCCCTCCCCTCCTCACTTCCCACCTACAGCCCTATATAAACCCCTTTGGAATGAATAAAGGTTGTCGGCTTGATCAGAATATTGCCTTGCCGTCTGTTTCTTGCACCCCTTGCTCCCCATTTTCTCCTAGGTATCCCTGGTCTTACATTGACTGTCCCCACCAGACGGGTCAGAGGAACACACCTTTAATCCCAGCACTCAAGAAGCAAGTGGATATCTGACAAGCCAGAACAGTCAGAGCTGTCACACACAGAAACTGTGGCTCACAATAAATAAATATTTTAAAAAATAATTAAGAAATTAGGTAATTGATTTTATAAGGGATTACATTTAAAGAGATTGTATGAACCTGAGAAGACTTTGAAATTCAGACTTTTAAAAATTGTTGAGACTGGTAGACTATAGGGAGTTTTGAAGTTGACCTAAATGAGTTTGGCATTGTTATTGCTACAAGCCTCCAAGGACCAGGGAGTAGAATGTGATGGTTTCAATAGATATGGCCCCCATAAACTTACGTTTTTGAATGCTTGGAGCATAGGGAATGTTGGAGTAGGTATGGCTTTGCTGACAGTGTGTCACTGTGGAGGTGGGCTTTGGGGTCTATACTCAGTGTGAGTTTACTTCCTGTGAATCAGGATGTAGAGCTCTCAGCTCCTTATCCAGTACCACATCTGTCTACACACGGATATGTCCCACCATGGTAATGGATGAAATCTCTGAAGTGTAAGTCCCCACCTCAATTAAATATTTTCTTTAGTAAGAGTTGCCATGGTCGAAGCAATAAAAACCCCAACTAAGGCAAGTATATTGTGAAGAAACTCTGACTTCATATAAATGTACCTTTTCTTTTCTTTGTTTGGTTTTTCGAGGCAGGGGTTGTGGCTGTAGAGAGCTGCAAAGTGCCGCACCCTTAAGATGGTGCTGGTTTCCGCCTTCCGCTAGCCCGACAGCAGGTGCTCTCTGTGATAAACAACACCTGTATTTAGTTAAGGCTGGATATCAGGCTTGCTTCTGCGTATGTGGACCTATCTGCATGTTCCACCTGGCATGCTGGGGTTGGCCGCCCCAAGGGCTTTTAAGCTGTGGGTTGGTGCTCCCTGGCGCTCCCTGGGAGAAGAAGATTGTTCAAGGTTCCTGAATAAACTGCTTAAAGAAGAGTCTGCGCGATGCATCTTCCTTGTTGGTCGAGGCGGGCACGACAGTGTACCTTTTCTTTTGATTGAAGAAAGGATCTTACTCCTTAGCCCAGACTATTTTTGAATTAGCAGCAATCTTTGTGCCTCAGCCTTCCATTCAGTGTTTTTCTTTCATGGAAAAAAGTGTAACAGCATTTTCAAATAATCATGTGTACTCCTTGATACTGCATAAAAAGCTAGTAAGTGGGTGTTCCCTCCAAGATTGGTGGCAATATGGAAGTTGAATGTACAAGGAATTTTCTGCATAATTCTCTTTTTTAAAATCAGACACTTTTCCCCCTTCAATGTACTTTTATGTTTCAATGTTTATATAGACAACATTAGGGTTTAAAAAAGAAACAGAACTAGGGGGTATAGTTAAGTGGCAGAGCATTTAACATGCACGAGGTCTAGAATTCCATTTCTACCACTGGGAGAGGCAAGAATTTCTAAAAATAACCTATGTTCTCCTAGAAGTAAACATTATGTGTCCTCTGTAGCAAATGCCGCCTTAGCCTCCCTGAGGGTGTGCCACCATGCCCAACTTATCCAAATGTGTCTATTAATGAGAGTAAGAAAACAAAGAGAAATGGAACCATGAAGACTTCAACTGTAGTTCTTTAAAAAATAAATGTTTATTTCAAGTATGAAAAGTAATGTCAAAACATCTTCCAAAAACTCCATTCAGTTTAACAAAAGTATAAAACAAGATTTCTGGAAAAACCTATACAATAAAGTACAAAATACGTACGAATATACTTTGACATTCACAGTGGGCATTTTTTGAAAAATAAGTTTTGCTAATATGCTTAGAAATGAAAATATATTTACAGCCCCAGTCAAACAAGTCCTCAGCTGATGAAGAGTTATGTCAGGATGACAGCATTTCGGAGTAAGATTTGCACAAGTCACCTTCATGTTCTTTTTGGTTGCTGTTGTTTTTGTTTTGGAGATGGTCTCACGTAGCCTGATCCTCTTGTCTCCATCTGCCAAATGTTAGGATCACAAGTGTGCACCACTGTGCCAGCCAGACTTAAAACAGTAAACATGGTTCAAAATGTAGAAGATCACACATTTTGTAGTTCACAGACAAATGCAAACTATTTCTTTGCCTGTTCACCAGCAGCTAATCCAACATTTCGATCACACAGTATCAATGAAAAACATGAGAATTCCAAATGTGAAAGTCCTGAGTTATTTCCAGCAAGGAATTTCTGAAAAGAAAAAGTTAGGGACTTCCTGGAGGTAAAAGCAAAACCACTATATCCTGTGACTACTTCACTGGACTGCTCCCGAGGCTTCTGCTTCTCTTCTCCAGGTACATCTTTTTGTAAGTCCGGAACATGACATTTGAATCTTTTACTGGGTTTTGTAGCATTTCAAATTCATCTGCACTGAAGCTTCTCTTAGATAGTCTTGACTCAGCCCGATCTAAGAAGGTAAAACTGATACTTAATGTTCAATATGACAAACATAATGAAAAACAAGACGGGAAATGTACAGTATCTGTGGGGACAGAAACATAAGCTAGATAGCTGAAATGAAAGTAAATGCCTATTAATCACAGCATTCTCAAGGCTGAGGCAGGAGGATATTCAGCTAGCTCAAGGCCAATCTGAGTTTCACAGCAAGAGCTTGCCTCAAAAAACCAAAGGAGGAAATGGAGAGATGGTTCAATGATGGCTGCCTTTAGTCCCAGCACTTGGGGAGGCAGAGGCAGGCAGATCTCTGTGAGTTTGAGACCAGCCTGGTCTACAATAGCTAGTTCCAGGACAGCCTCCGAAATCACACAGAAACCCTGTCTCGAAAAACCAAAAAATGAAGAAAAATTTAAAAAGTAGTAGTCCCAAGATCTAATCCCATCACCCATGTTGGTGGCTCAAAACTACCTATAAATTCAGTTCCAGAGATCTTACCGCCTCTGATGGCACTTATGTGCACAGACCCAGAGAGCCATATTTAGGCACTAATTAAAAATAATAAATCTTTTGGCCAGGTAGTGGTGGAGCACACCTCTAATCCCAGCATTCAGAAAGCAGAGTAAGGTCTATGTGAGTTCCAGCCTAGTCCACAAAGCAAGTTCTAGAATAGCCAGGGCTACACACAGAGAAAAAAAAATTCCGTCAGACAAGGTTTCTCTGTATAACAACCCTGGCTGTCCTGGAACTTGATTTATAGCCCTGACTGTCTTGGAATTTGATTTGTAGAACAGGCTGGCTTTGAACTCACAGGGATCTACCTGCCTCTGCCTCCCAAATACTGGGATTAAAAGTGTGTGTCACCACCACTTAGCTATCTTTGCCTTTTAATCTAAGCAAAACTAAAATGTAACTCCTCAACTCTACTCTCTGAACTACATTCATTCCACTTTAAATTAAACAGATGAGGATCCAGATAATACAGTTCTTGCCTACCATGCAAGCACAGAGCCCGGGATTCTGCTCTTAGCAGCACATAAACCTTCAGCATGTGAGGTGTGGAAGCCAAAGGATCAGAAGTTCATGGTGAATACAAGGCCAGTCTACCAGATAGTTACTGAGCTCAGTCCCCAACAAACTAAAAGCTACCAAGACAACTAGCCTTTTGTCCTTTAAAATATTTACTTCACTATCCTCAATGAACTTGGAAGAGAGGGACCAGGGTCAAATCCCTAATCTAGCAATGTAATAAGCCAGATGACAAACAGGAATGTCCTTGACTACCTTGTTTAGGGAATTGAATGAGTGAGCCTGCAAATCACCAAATGGAGGTTGGCAGACATCATTGGAGGCCAATCCAGCCTGCCACAGTTCTTACTGAAGAGTTTAATCAAAATTACATAATATCCTTATTTACATATCATTTCATACAATGTCAAAATTGAGGTCAGCTCGGATCCAGAAAATTCAATGTTCTGGCCCTACTCAGGTCAAAAATACCAACTTCCTTACCTAATCCAGTATGATAGTTAAAGGGAACTAGATCCTGGCCTCCAACTCCATCCTGACATAGAAAACAGAGCTCTTTCTTACCTTGAGAAACACCAAGTGACTAAAAAAAAATATAAATAAAATCATGGATGGTGATATTATAATCCTATCAATGTTATAGATAAGCTGTTAAATCAAAAACAAACAACAAAAGGAAACAAATGGTGTTTTACCTATTTCTTGACTTGATTCTGGAATCTTTGTCCTTGTAGGGATACATTTTAGCCAGTCTTCTTTTGTAGTTTTTATTCCTGAAACTGTTTAAATACTTGTTTTCAGATATAATATTTACTCCTCTATTTTACCATAATGAAAAACAAAACCCACGTTAAGTCTTTATAATACATCATAGTGTATCTTATGATGTACTATATCTAAATGCCATATATATGTAACATTACATTTTAAAGGACCTGAATTTTTTTTTTTACCATGTGAGACAAGTATTTTACAACAGGAAAATGAATTGTTTTTAATTTTTACACAAAATAAACGTTTCCTCACCTTGTCTAAATCACCAACATTTCTCGGGGTATTTATTTAAAGGTATGTGATAGGAAGTCACTGCCCCTGCTCAATTCCAAATTTCCAGTTATACCCAAAGTCTCACATTCTAAAAACCTAATAAAAATGCCCATTGAAACGATCCTTTTGTTTTAGCTCTCTATATTTTGAGACAGGGTCTCATTATGTAGTTCTGGTTGGTCTGGAACTTACTACGTAAACCAAGCTGGTCTCAAATTCAGAGATACACCTGCTTCCGCCTCCCAAGTGTTGAAATGTGTTCTGTACCTATCACCTTACAAACACACACACACACACACACACCATTTATGTTATTGCTTCATCACACCAACAGATATAATCAGAAGAAAAGCAAAAAAAGAAACCATACAAATTAAAACTTGATACTTCTCAAAACTGAGTTTCATTGCACAACATATTAGCTGTAATATCCATGACTTCAAAACCTCCTATTCATCCATTTTCCCTTTTAATTCTTCCTCCATGGAGATGCTACCTATGACTCATGATTGCTATTCTGGCCTTTTCACTGCTTTTAGTTTCTGAGATGACATCTTATAGCCAAGGTTGGACAAAAACTCCCTGGATTCTTCTGCCTCCAGCATTTCACACGTACCACTCTGCCCATCACCTTTTAGACTTTGTGACTAATTTTAGATTAATTTGCTCCAAGCAATTACAGCTTCTACAGGTCTTCTATTTTATAAATAGACCAGATGTTACCATTTTAACTTTGGGGATAACCTCTTCATCCTCAATTTCAAAGATGGCAACAAGCTGACTGACCCCTTATTAACAAGGTACATTACCTCCCTTTGGAACAAAGCTTCACATACAAGCTGCTTTGAAAACCAAGACACTGCCTGTGGCTGCAGTTCGGCGGTAGATAGTACTAGTGGTTTGACTACCGATACCACAAAACCAAAACTTCTTAAAACAAATGTACACTTCATACTTTTACCACAAGAAATGCTTTTCACAGGGCAGATTCTTAGGGACTTAATAAAGTATCTATGTTCAGGAAATGTTTGGAAGATTTGTCAGTACTAATTTATTAGATTTTAAAATGAAGGGTAACAAACACAACAAATGCTGCTCAATGAACACTGACTCACTGTCACCCCAACTCTAGCCCATCCTACACACCAACTCCTAGGACTACACCTCTACAGTTCCTCACACATACACAAATACTACTGGTTAGGCCCTGTGGCCTACATTTCTACCACATGGGAGACAAGAGGATCGGAGTTAAAAGGCCAACAACACCAGGCTGAACTGTGTAAAACTGTCTCCTATAACCCCACCCCACCCTAAAGAAAGTTATACTGAACCTTGCACAGGTGCTTTCTCCTTCTCAGGTCCAGCCCTTGGATCATCCTGTTTGTCACCGGAGCTTGCATTCTTCAATAGCACATCTGGACATAATTTAAACTCCAACATGGGCTTGTGTTTGTCATTTTTTGTCATGGGTGTACAGGCCCTACTCTTTTCTTTCTCTTTACTGAGTTTCTTGGATGCACTGTCCAATTTGGTGAGACAAATACTTTCCCGTTCTGTGCATTTAAATGCAACTCGATTCAGGTACTGTTTCCTTTGTTCCTTTACCTGGAGAGGTAGTTGGCTAGACTTAACACTCATATTGGTCAATCTTTCTAATTTGGTTTTATCAATATAAGCTTTTTCTGGATGCTTCTTATCAAATTTTCCTTTACTGTTTGACACACTGTATGTCCTAGCCTCCTCAGAATGGTGGGTCTTGCGATTCTTATCACGGCTGGTGGAATTATGTTCTGCTTCTTTAGAAGTCTCTGCACTGACACCCTGACCCTCAATTAACTTTCCCCAGCTGGGTGAAGCAGAATGCTTACTTGACTTTATGTGTTCAGAGTCACACGGCACATTTTCTACATTTTTGGAGGCATTATTGCCCATTACATGTTTGTCTTTTTGCCGCTGTAAGTATTCCTGCAGAGTTATAACTTTAGTACTCTTAGAGGAGTTTCCCTTCGAGTCTGAGGGCTCAGAATTTGTCACTATCTTTTCTTTAGCACAGGCGCTTTCATTTGATTCGGTCAAAGTACTACACAATTTGAGTGTGCTCCCAGCATTTTTGTTCTGCTCTTGTTTTTCGTATTTCTTCTTTTTTATTTCCACATCTGGGGTAAGCACATGGTCATTTTTTCTTTTTTCAAAATATTTAAGTTTGGAACTACCTGATTTGAATTTTAATTTTTTCTTTTCTGGTGACACCGACTGTACCAAAAAGCTATTCCTCCTGCACGGATCTTTACTTGGCAAAAGTCCTTCATGTCCTTTTATTGGATCTGAGTCTTGGGCTATGTGTTTCTTCGACAGGCTTTCCTGAGAATCTTGTTTAGGAAATGCTGGCATATTTTTACCAGAGTTGGAAGTTACCACATTAAATGTTTCAGGGGATGGTATTTTATTGCTTTTTAAGGGATTTGGTTTGTCACATTTGGAAGAAAGATTTTTCATTTTTTGTTCTATTTTCAGTGAGCTATCCTGTTTTGTTTTAGATATATCTTTATCTTTCTGATAACAGGTCACTGAAAAATGATCAGTTAATTCCTGTTCTACCCTGGGTGAGCTGCTGTCTTTTGTTTCAGATGTTTTTATCTTTTCACCATGTATATCAGAAAAATGGCCTTTCTCAGCTTCTTGGATCAGAGAACTTTTTAGGTTACTAGAAATAGGATTAATTTCAAAAATAGTGATTCCACTATTGCAAGTCTGCTCTTCTTGTTTACAATTAGTGAACTCCAAAGAACACTGGTCTTTCTCTTTCTCTTCCATGGAATTGCAATGACACTGTGGCACACCTTCATAAACCATTGAGAGCCAGCCCAAGGCACAGCAATGGATTTTGTCTTTCTCCTTATCCAACATCCCAGGGTCATTACTTTCTTTTCTGGGGACCTGTGAATTACACAGGCTCTTTACTTCTGCAATAACTTTTGTATTCTTGGGTTCTTCCAACTTGCCTAAGTCCTCTTCAGGGAATAATTCTTTGATTTGTTCTGCGTTTAACAATGTAACTTTTATTTGGTCTGTGCTATTCCCAGACATACTACCAGTTTTGCTACCAGTTTGACTTCCTAAGATTTCATGTGTCTTTTGTCGGCCCACATAAACTTCAGGCCTGGCAGTAGTCTCAATGCCATAAGGGAACTCTTTTAGAAGTTCTGAGAGCTGGTCATGTAGGTATGAAACAGGTTCATTTTCATCATTAATCTCATTTACTGCAGGAAGACTGTGTCCTGACTTACTGCTGGCCCTTTCAGTTTCCTGAGGCTGAGGATCTTGCTGGACTGCAGCTGGTAAACACATGTCCTTAGTTGTCTCTTTTTCCTCAGTGTCCTCCTTACTGCCTTCCTCTAGGATTTCTCTGTTTGCTTCAACATACTCATTAGATGCTGCCTGTAAAGGCTCCAGTATCTCTGGCTGTTCAGGGACTTCATGAGGACCATTTGTACCCTGCACACATGTATCTTCCTGAAAACTACAGTCTTTGTTTTCAGCAATGCTATCTACTTGTTTTTCTTGGTGACTATTAATTACCTGATTAGGAGAAGGTTTCTGGGGCTCATTTTGTAAAGAGTTGAATATCTCTGCTATCTGGGAATTGTAAGATACATCACCTTCTGCAAGAGAACAGATACTTTCAATCTGTAACACAGGTTCACTCACAATGGTGCTGTCACTAGGGTTAGGCAAAGCTTCAGCACCCAGGGAAGAGTGTTTCCCTAGGCTGCTATCAGCTATGTCTAGATCACTCTGTGTTGGTTTGTGCTGCTTTTCCTTATGCACAGGCAAGGTTAGTTCAGCTGATACAGTAGTACTTGCTACTGCTCCGGTAACATCAAAGGGCAAAGCAGTAGTTACTGTTCCATTTCCTGCTTGCTGGTTTTGTATGATGCAAACACTGCCTTCCTTAACAACTGGATACACAGTTTCTGGTACAACTTCAGGTGCTAACTCTTTCCCAGGTACAGTATTGACATCAGAAAGAATTAAAGGTGAAACCACAGCAATCTGAAGCTCTGTTCCTTTTCCAACAGCTACATCTGAAGACTCATAAATCGGTGTGAGAACTGACAAGGCTGTTTGTGATGAGGTCGTTATTTTCTGAGAATTTCTAACACCTGAACAAAAGTTCTTCACATGAACTTCATTCATGGTATTTGAACGGCCAACTGCTGTTGTACTAGCTCTTGGTGCATTATACTGTTTTTCTTCTAAAGGTTTTGGAACATTTTCTTCTGTGGTTTTTGGAGGTTGGTTTTTCCAAAGAGAAAGACATGTTGCTAGTAATTCCATGGAGCACTGACTGTCCCTTTTAGCAGACATTACTTTTGGAGAAAATTCAGAATGCTGAGTTGGTTCAGTATAAGAAGTATTAGCTGTTTTACTGCATCCAGCTGCCATCAAAAGATTTTTATTGATTTTAATTTTTCTTGCAAGTTCTGAAAATTTCTTTTTAATTTCTACTAGTGTTTTAATATCCCTCACCAGTTTTTCTTTTGTGACATTTGTGTCTACTATTTGATTTGTATTTGGATTGTAGGAATACTTTCTTTCTTCTTGATTATTTTGAACAAGTGTCTGAACACCATTGCCAGAAGAGCCAGCAGAGTCATTGTAAGACTGTTTTGTATTTATTTTCAACTCACAGAATTTTCCAATTGTACTGACATTTTTGCTAGCGTTCGGCCACTGCTGTTGAAAGACTTTGTAAGCATCTTTCTTTTTTTCAGATGAGTGCATTTCTGAACTCTGAGGAACTTCCACAGGCAAGTGTCTAGAAACAGACTGAGAATTTTGCACATGTTGGCTTCCATATCTACAGCTGTAAGGTGGTAGAGGGAGTCTTTTGCTGGTTTCTGTGGCATACTGATATGATGACACAGGTACTGGATGCTTTGATGGTAAGGTCTGTGTAGAAGGTGGAAGTTGATTGTTTTTAACTTGTAATGATGTAGATGACACAAAGTTTTGTTTCTGAACAGAAGTGTCTTGCACAAAGCTTTGTGGTAAATAAGGATATTGCTTTGGAGGTGACCTGTAATCTGGATAAGTAAGTTCATTGGATGTGCATTGTGTCCAGCCAACAAGCTCATCTGGTATCGAATGGTTAAGTCCTTGATTTCCTTGATAATTTCCTTGGTAAGTTACAGGACCTCTTACAGAATTTGAAGGAGTCATTTGTAGTTGCACAGAATAGGTATCTGATGTGACAAGCTGACTCTGTGGTGCATGCATATAAGGCATATTAGTCCCTCCATCAGGTGTATGAGTCATGGTTGCCTCTGAATGAGAAGGCATAAAATTCCTCATTGCTGAATTCATCCAGGCATTTTGCGTAACTCCTGAAGATACTGCTTGCAAATTGTGGTTTGGTTGTTGGTCTGCTTTAACATGTGTATATGTGACTCTTTCTACTGAAGTCTGTGAGGCCACAATTGTCCTATTATGCATATTAGAAACAGAGATCGGAGGAGTTACGTAACTCCTGACGTTCAGAAGTGGTTGTGAAACTGAATTTGAATTAGTGGGATACATGCATGCGTCTTGATTATGTGGCAGACAGGTAAAAGAACTTTGAGTTGTGGAAGAAGGCAATAAAAGCTGCTGCAAAAGAGACGACTGGCTTTTAGAATATTGTGGGTTTGGGGCAGCATTCTCTGGTTTTGCATTCCAATTCATATTTGGTCTGGTTTAGTAGTAGTGTTGTATAGTCTGTGGTTTTGAATGTCACAAATCTACAAGAAATACAAATAAAGATCTTTTATTAAAACTTTCTCCCCATTCCCTGGCCTTTTTTATTTATTTATTTATTTATTTATTTATTTTGGAACAGTCTTTCTGGCCTAGAACTCCCTTTGCAGACCACACTGACTTCAAATTTGTGGTAATCACTCTGCTTACACAGAATTCCACAGAACAATAGAAGCAAATTATGTCTATGGTAACTAATGAGCTGTACCCAGATAGTAGTAATAGAAGTTGTAACAATAATTGAGCCAATTGTCAAGATCAATGAAATGTGTAAGGATTTACTCCACATGAAGCAGCTGTCACCTGTTAAAGTGGCACTTTTACTTACTATTATTTGAAGTGAGGGTTATGAACTTAAAGAGACTCAAGCATGCTAAGCATTCACTGTACCCCTAAACCCTCCCTCCTTCCCCCTCTCACTCTCCCTCTGTGTGAGAGAGAGAGAGAGAGAGAGAGAGAGAGAGAGAGAGAGAGAGAGAGAGAGGGAGGGAGGGAGGGAGGGAGGGAGGGAGGGAGGGAGGGAGAGAGAGAGAGAGAGAGAGAGAGAGAGAGAGAGAGAGAGAGAGAGAGAGAGAGAGAGAGAGAGAGAGAGAGAGAGATCTGTTGGGGACTGCTAAGAACCTTGAACAAAATGGAGTCTGTCAGCCATTTCTTGGCCTTCTGCCTACATGACTGCAGGCACACATGCCCTTGAGACAAAGGAAATAGCTAACCACAAAAGTTAAATTTACACAGGGCAGCCCACCCGCCTAGCCAGGGGGAAGTAACCCTTATAGAACAATTGCCTTTGTTAACAAAAGGTTAATGTGTTCCTTTGGATGCTTTTTACCCCTCCCTATTTCCTGCACCTGGCTTACATTGATAAGCATTTGTGGAATGCAACCGACGGAAAATTACAACTTCGTCTTTACCTTATTTGGTGTATATTTGAGACTTGATTGACATGCTTGTACTGCCCCCCTGAGTTGCTCTACCTATAAAAGCTATTTCACCCCCAAGAATAAATGCTCTTGATCAGCAAAAGTTGTCTTGAGCCTGCTTCCCTTAACCTCTTGAAGTTTGCTTTTTAAGATCGGATCTGCTCGTGAAGACCAACCAAATTAGTAGCGACCCACATCAAATCATCCCCGCGGGTTGGGGGTCCCCTCTGGGGGTCGCAGATCTCCATGGTCATGGTCTGTTACTCTTATTTTAATGCTTTATTCTTACTGTACATTCCCAACTTATAATTTTATTGTTGTATACAATATTATCTTGTCTTTTTATAAAATTTCTAAGCATAAAGAGTTTCATGCTGTATGCTCAACTACTCAAGAGGCTAAACAGTATTGTCAAAATGTCTGGAAAATAGAGAGACCCTATCTGAAGAACGAAACAAAATCTAAAACATAGAGACAAACACCATCTACTGGGTTTTTTGGTTCTTTTCTTATCACACACAGGCAGGTTATTACATTTCACTAAAAATTATCTGTCTGCATAGCATTCAACTTTATGGCTATGTCACTTGTGACATACCAATAAATTTATTTGAGCCAGGTCTGGTTGTGCATGTCTATAACCCCAGTACTCAAAAAGCTGAAGCAGGAAGACATCAAGCTGAAGGCCTAGCTAGGCTATAGACTAAGTTCAAAGCATACCTAGGCAGTTCAGTGAAGCCCATCTCAAAATAAAAAGTTAAAACTGTGAGGATCCAGATGGTGTACAGTTCCTTTCTCAAGCATGAACCCTGACTGAGTATGCTACATGACTTCAGAAAGCTACAGGCATGAGATAATGCCTAAGTCTAAGGAAGAATGTCCTCCAGTACACATAAGACCACACAAGAACAGAGAAGTGTGGAAGAGGAACTCCGGGAATGAAACAAAGGGGACTTGCATTTCATTTTATCTTTAGTTGGTACCTAAAACTGCTACAGAAACAACTGCGGAAAAACAAAATTTACTCATTCTTGAAGTGAAGCCAGAGTTCTATGTGTCTGTCTACCACTGACCTCCTTTCCAGGATCCTGTGTCCTGTCTATGGCTGTGCTAGCCTAGCCATAAGAACAAAAAAAGGGGCTGGAAAGATGGTTCAGAGGTTAAGAGCACTGGTTGCTTCCTGAGTTCAATTCCCAGCAACCACATGGTAGCTCACAACCATCCATAATGAGATCTGGTGCCCTCTTCTGGCATGCAGACATACATGGAGAAAGGATGTTGTATTCATAATAAATAAGTAAATCTTTAGAGAGAGAGAGAGAGAGAGAGAGAGAGAGAGAATTTTCTTCTACTTTCTTTTGTTCACATTTTAGTATGTACTACTGAGATAAGAGGAAGAACTCAGTGCCATCTCAGGAAACACTCAGTGCCAATGGCAGAATTTTCAACACCACGCATAGCTTTAGAAACCATGAAGAACCAGAGTTTAACACTGCAAGTAACAGTATTGAGATTTGATACAAGTGCTCAGAGGATAGTGTACTCTGCCTATTTATCACAACCTTTGGCTTTTGTTAAGTATAGCAAAGAAGGGATTGTTACAAGACACCCCTTAAATTTGCAATCAGTCACCAGAAGTGCAGGACTCTCAGGAATGGGAACTGGAACAGTCTTGTGGAACGGAGCCCTTTAATGAGTAGAATTTGATGATACAGGACTGAATGGGAAAGCAGGATACCCAGAAGGCATGTGAGCAAAACTAGAGAATAAGTTGGCAGGGAGACAATTCTCTGCTGTCACAAGTGTTGTGTAAATGTAAAAATACAGCTTTAAAATCAAGTGGGTTATGGGAAGAGACATACTAGAGTTGCTGGCACACCAAAATACCTTGCAAGGAATGGAGACAAATTGGGAGAAGTTTAATTCTGTACCTCCACGCTATAAAGATGAGAACATGCGCTAAGCAAGTCACTATGTCATCCAGTATAGTACAAAACGTATCACTACTTTACTACAACCCCAGGTCTGGACAGAGGTCCCCAAATACCTAGAGATTTGAGACAGGGTCTCACTGTGTACCCTTATCTAACCTTAAACTTGTAGTGATTCTCCTGTCTCTTTACTTCTCCAGTGTTGTAATTACAAAGCATGTTCAATCATGACCAACTAAAGACATAGTTATACATGCTCATGATCCCATATTTGAGGTTGGAGGATGGAGACCACTGGATCTGGGGATTCTATGGCCAGTTAACCTATCTGAAATGGTCATGTCTAGCTTTTAAATAGGTGTTGGGGATTTATACTCAAGTCCTCTTTCTTATACATTAAGCACTCTTTACACACTACATATTTTACTTCCTCCACATAAGCAAGTAGCAATTTGAATGAGAATGGTCCACATAGGTTCATATATTTTAGTGTTCGGCTCTCCCACCTGATGGTACTGTTTGAAAAAGATTAGGAAATGTTGAAAAACCTCAATACACACCCCTTTTTTGAGACTCAGAAGGTTGCCTCAGTGGAAAATTCCCCAAGGTCCCTTCCCCTAGACAGGGAACAAGGTCTGATTAGAAAGAACATCTGGTCCAGAGTGCTAACGAAGGAAGCTGGCAGGCTGTAGAGATAAGTGTAATTCTGACCTTGTGGTTTCTCCTGGGAAGATGAGTTATGCCTGCACTTCTGACAACCCCCTATTGCTTGCCCAGATCTGCACCTGCAGTGGCTCCGCTTTTTACAATACCCCTATTGCTTTGCTTGCCAAAATTATGTACATAAAAAGAAAACTGTCCCAAAGCCCAGGGTTCTCAGCTTGCTAAAGCGGCTGGAGTGCCCACAGATGCCTGTGTAAACAATAAACCTCTTGTAGATTGCATCCAACTGTCTGGTTATTGAGCCCGGGACGTCACGAGGCATTCAGCCTTGTCCCGCGCTACCGTCTCGCCAGCAAGAACGACGCAGAACACTCGGATCCTTCTGCAGTAAAGCTTTAATGCATCTTGAGAGATAGATGATCAGCTTCTTAGAGGGAGACCCCAAGCTAAGAAACCCAGCCCCTTATATAAGCCTAGGAGCTCCGAGTGAGATGTGTAGAGCCGGGATTGGTGGTTTGCACATCACCCCAGATGACGTCACGGGAGAGGCACAGTTTAAACGGTTAACTCCAACTGACAGCGACAGTTAACTCTAACTGACAGCGACAGCTAACTCCAACTGACAGCGACAGTTAACTCCAACTGACAGCGACAGTTAACTCCAACTGACAGCGACAGTTAACTCCAACTGACAGCGACAGTTAACTCCAACTGACAGCGACAGTTAACTCCAACTGACAGTGGATGTCAGCGCCATCTTCTAACGGCAATAGCGATAGCGAGGGCGGCTCCTCACACAGCCTGACCACTTCAGGTCTTTCAATGTGACGTTGCAGATGTATCACTGGGAGTATTGTTAATGGAGGTGGACTTTGAGGTCTCAAAAGCCCACATAGCTTCCCAGTTAGCTCTCTGTGCCTGTGTTTATGGACCAAGATATAAGCTCTCAGCTACTGCTCCAGCACCAAGCCTGCCTGCCTAATGCCACGCTCCCCACCACAATCGTCATGGACTCATTCTCTGAAATTGTAAGCTCCCAATAAATTGCTTCTTCTTGTCCTGGTCATGGTGTCTACACAGTAACACAGAAGTAACTAAGACAGGGTACTATGGGAACACCAGACCTTGTTCAGAGACACACTTCCCCATCAGCCTGGGAGTAGGCAGCTGTAAGACAATGTTTACTAAAAACATGTTTACTAAAAATACAATGCCCCGGGCAATACGTTCCTGAAAAGGGCGTGCCCGAGGGAACCGCCCTGTCCTCGACCTTTTCCAAAGACTAACCGCCCACATCCTCATACCCACCCATCCCCACCTCTGGTGTCAGGGTATGTAATAACCAGCCAGAGTAGGAATAAAGGAGAGCCTTCTTGAGGAGCCTTCAGGTCTCGGTGTTGTCAATCCCTCCGCACATTCTCAGACACAGGCTGCGCAGCAGGCGCGGCAAAGTACAAGTAGGGTTTTTGA